CCCCCCCCCCCCCCCCCCCCACTACTCCATTCAACATTTGGCACAAAGAAACTGGAGGAATGTAATTTCTGCATCTCTCTCTTTGCTGATGCTGCCCTTCAAACACTTGCTGGCTCTGACTCTGCCTCCCCCTCTCTCTTTTCTCCTGACACACAGTGTATCCTGGGGACTCCTCTTGAGTCAGCAAAGCTCAGATCTCGCCCACGACGTCTTCTACACATTTTCCTTTGTCCTGCGCTCTATGATTCATTCTCCATTGGGAAGGCTGGCTACCTCCTGGCTCTTCTCAACAGACTCGCTATTCTTCATTAGGTCATCTGTAGAAGTCATGTAAAAGCCGTAGCTGCTGGAGTCATGAACTGGCCTTGTCCCTTTCTTGTAAAGCGGTGACAGATTAAGCCCCGTGGCCTCCCCCTGGACCCTTCTCTCTTATTAATAAGTTTCCTCTTTTTTCATTTTCCGATGGTCACTTTGGAGATCCCGGAGTTGTCAATGGCAACTCTCCCGCATCCCGCCCCCCCCCCCCCCCCCGGGCTCTTTATTTGGCAGGGGACCGTCAAATATCCTGTGCTTCCATGGTGCGCTGCAATAACCTTGGAGTCAGTCAGGAGAGAGCAGCCTTAGACATCAATGTGCTACGGTCTGGGCCCAGCAAGACTGCTGGTCTGTGTGTGTGTGTGAGAGAGATAAGCTTTATGACTGGTGCTTTGGTCCATCAAAGAGATGTGCTCCTCTGTTCTCCTCAAAAACAGACATCCCTTTATCATATCTTGGGAGGATAAGATGACTACATTCTTTCAGGAATGTTTGATGTAAAAGTGATGGCATGCCAGAGGGTGCCGTGGTAAGAATTATAAGTGAGAGACACCATATCATCACAGCCAAGTTCCTTCATTCAATGAGGGTTTGAAATGAATGGGCTTCTGAGCAGTTTTAACGCAAGAAATTCTCCCATGTCGAAAAAAAAGTGTTCGTCTCATGGGAAATTAAACCAGCTCTGAGAGCGGTTTGCATCCGTAACTTCATGTTTCTCAGGCCACCTCCTCACAAGCGTACTGCTTGTGAACATGCTGTGTTCACACTTATGTTGTTTTCGTTCATCGGTAAACAGCTACTTCTATTTCCTTGTGGTCGGCAGACATCAAAAGTGCACATCACCGTGTGTTTCCACCCAGATGAAATCACAATTATTTTTTTCTTGATTACATTTATTTATGATTCTGTTAGCAGACAAATGAAAATAATAGTAATTCGACCAAAGCCCATAAATGGCTCCTGTTAACCAGGACAACAGTCATTTATGTGCTGCTGTACTGAGACTTACAAATCATTGCAACGTTGTCACTGCTGCTGTCTTTCCCTCCCATTCTCACAGTCTCGCTCACCCAGTCACCCTCTGCTTTCTGTCTCTGACTGAGTGTTTCTCTGACTTTGTCTTTGACACAAGGCTCAACCTCGCTCCATGCAGCAAGACGCAGTTCGTTAAGTGATACAACCATTTCCCTCCTCCCCGTGCCTGCTCCAGTTGTTTTTGTGCCGCTTCCTCCAGATCAATGGACACTGATCAAGACATGCTGGAGACAATAGCAGCAACCACATCAAAGCCCAGTGCCCATTAAGAGCTGATGACAAAGAGAGAACAGAGAGAGCCAGCTATATTTGATGTGTGTGGCCAAAGATACTGTAGATTCTCAACTTCTGCATTTCTATCACAAAAGCACTGTGAAACTACTCTGTAAAAGGACATGTTTTTTTTATACATGCAGGAATACAGCAAGCAAATACAGAGCTTCAATCTCTTTCATGCGTTCTTGTCAGTGTAGCCCACAATGCCTTTTG